GAAGGATTCCAGGACCTGCTTAACATGCGTCCGTAAGTTTTCCCACTCCCAAGTTTATCATAAAATAACCAGTGGCACAAATGTGACTGCCTGGACACACAGGATGGAGTCTGTTCATTTAACCCTGAATCTAACCACCTCATTATTGTTTGCCTATTCATACTGGCTCCCAATGAATACGGTACACAAGCTAACCATCCCTTCTATCCATAGTTCACCTCTGTACTGTGTTCTTACTATAAAATAAGCAAACAGAGAATGAGAAAACCCAGACATTAGTATCATAAAGAAATCATTTTAGGCCAGGCGCAGTGGCACAGGCCTGTAATCCCAGCACTTTGGGAGGCAGAGGCAGGTGGATTACCTGAAGTCAGGAGTTCGAGACTAGCCTGTCCAGCATGGTGAAACCCTGTCTCTACTAAAAATACAAAAAAAATTAGCCGGGCATGGTGATGGGTGCCTGTCATCCCAGTTACTCGGGAGGCTGAGGCAGGAAAATTGCTTGAACCTGGGAGGCTGAGGTTGCAGTGAGCCGAGATTGCGCCATTGCACTCCAGCCTGGGTGACATGAGCTAAACTCCCTCTCAAAAAAAGAAAAAAGAAATCACTTTATCAGATGACCCATAGTCGAGTGAAAAAGCTCTGGATCTCAAGTTTTTAACGTTGACTATATAGTTTTCTTTTTACTTTAACAACCTTTATTTCTTCCCACTCAGGGACCAGTCCAATGTGAGACGGATGCATACAGCAGTGAAACTCAACGAGGTTATAGTTAACAAGTCCCATGAAGCAAAGCTGGTTTTATTGAATATGCCAGGGCCACCCCGAAACCCTGAGGGTGATGAAAACTGTATCCTTTCCAAGAGTGGGGCTTCCAGTAGGGAAGATCTCCTAAACCTCTTTCTGAGATAACTAGGTAACGATAAAAGTCATTGTCTATGCCCCACTTTCCCTCTTTAAGGAAGGAAGACTTAAAAGTCTTACGCAAAGATTTTTACAAAGTTATAAGACGAATCTCTTTTAGGGGAGTTGGGGCAAATATAATTCAGTTCTAAAAGACGTTTCAGGTGGTGTATTTGCAACATGACATCGAATATTCAGTGTCTAAAACCCTTCCTGACAATCCTGCAGACAGCGTACCCACATCCTTTCTCCTTTTTAGGTTCTACCTGCTTTGCAAAGCCTTTTTCTTTTGGATAGAGTTAGGGGAGAAGCTGAGATAGAACCTCCTTTAACTGAGGGAAAAGAGTTAGGTATTCTTCCTCATACCTTCATCGCAGGACTCTGGGGATAAGGGAAACCCTTCAGCACTGACACATAAATTAGTTTATTCCCACCAGTGCCATTAAGAAAAAGAGGTTTAGGCCAGGTGTGGTGGCTCACGCCTGTAGTCCCAGCACTTTGGGAGGCTGAGGCGGGTGGATCACCTGAGGTCAGGAGTTCAAGACCAAGCTGGCCAACATGGTGAAACCCTGTCTCTACTAAAAATACAAAAGTTAGCTGGGTGTGGTAGTGGGTGCCTGTAATCCCGGCCACTTGGGAGGCTGAGGCAGGAGAATCACTTGAACCAGGAGGCGAAGGTTGCAGTGAGCCAAGATTGCACCATTGCACTCCAGCCTGGGCAACAAGAGGAAATTCTGTCTCAAAAAAAAAAAAAAGGTTTAAAAAGAAAAAAATCGAACTGGCAGAAAAATCTGACTTGAGCAGCTTCACTTAGAAATACTTGGGTTCTCTGTAGGAACCTTGTTAGCTGCCCTATTGTGGCTTTTTTTCTTCTTTCATCATTTTTATCTTACTTAGAATAACACTTGTAGGTTTTCCCATTTTTAAAGTTAACACAAATGGGAGTCTTGTATTACATATGCAAAAGGACTGGATCCCTGGTTACTTCTGCACAGGGTTAAATTCAAAGTTCAGACTTTTCTGAATATATAATAATTAAGCAGCTAATTTTGTAGCTCTGTGATCAGATAACCTCAGATTATGATGATGCCAGATTGTAAGTTTGTGCTCTTCTTTTGCCTGTCTCCTTGACAAGTTTTGAAGACATGGAGTTCCTAGAGGTGCTTACCGAGGGACTAGAGCGAGTCCTACTTGTCCGGGGTGGTGGCAGTGAAGTGATCACCATTTATTCATAACCTACTCTGAATGACTGTGCTTGGCCTGTTTTCTTAAAAGGCCTACATCCTCCATGGAAGTGCCAGCTCACTACTACCACTCCCACTCAACTAGAAGCCTGTGTTCTGTACACATCATACTGAACTCTTGATGAGCTGAGCCTCAAGTACCTGTGTAAAAGAGCTCCCATCTGATCTGCAGTCCTTACAGAAAAAGCAAATATTCCCTCAACTCAGAACAACGTTCAAGTCTTACGAGCCACGTCTGAGCAATCAAAGGCAAATTAGAATTAACAAGCTGAGCCAATAAATGAATTGGTAAAAGGGATACCAGAAATTCAACTGAAGAAAAAAAGCAAGTCAAGTAAATATTCAGCATTAAAGATGAATCTCAGAAGTCATGGTCCAATGATGACACCGTGGGGATAACAACTAGAGACAGCTTCACCTTACTAAAGAATTTATGGTCAAGTATATTTGGACCTATTATCCTCGGCAAGTCAAGATGCAAACATTTTTTAGCTATATTTGTTTAGTATACCCACTGCTCTAACTTTATATTAGGATACCAACTTGAAACATGGCTGTAGCCTCTACTTCTTCGAAAACATTCCCCCAAAATACCAGATTTAAGTATCCATACTCTGTCAGTGTATACTTCAACTATTTATTTCTCTTAACTCAAAACCCATTCTGTCATTGTAACACAGGCAGTGTTACCATGGAAATTGTTTTTGGTAAGGTAAAAATTATTTCTTTCAGGTTCTTTTCAAATGGCCAAACTAAGAGAACTCCAAAAGGAAGCTATTAACATTTACTGGAATATTCTGTGGTTCTCTATGCAATGTGGACAAAATATACAAGCTGTTATCTTAAGAAATGCAGGTCATGGTGCACATTAACCAATAGGTTATTCTCCCCACTGCATCCACCCCCGCGCCTTTTTTTATGCCCTCTTATTAAGCATAGGTCAAAAAATCTTAAGGAACAAGTACTAGGAAAACTGGCTAAACATCCTTCCCTGAAATCACTGGGCCATCTTTTAAAGGGCATATCTAGCAGTGGAATTGGAAGTTCTAGAGCCATACTCTTTCCTTGGTGCCAATGTTACTGAGCGGCTACTCTCCTTACCTACTGTGCTAAAATGGCATACACATTGGCATTGACCTGTTGAAGAAATTTTACCACTAAGAAATCTTTTGCCTCATCTACAAAGCTGTAGTTAAGACTTGAGGCATTCAACTTAATGCCAAGTATAAGCATTTTCCCCTTTTTCTTTCAATTTTATTTTTCATTCTGACTACATAAACTTGGCTCTGAACTAAGATTAACCAAGCCAAGCCTTCTATTTGTTTTCAGAAACTTCAGGCCAGGTGCCATGGTTCACACCTGTAATCCCAGCACTTTGGGAGGCCAAGGCAGGTGAATCACTTGAGGTCAGGAGTTCGAGACCAGCCTGGCCAATATGATGAAAACCTCTCTCTACGAAAAATACAAAAATCAGCCGGGCATGGTGGTGCATGCCTGTGATCCCAGCAACACGGAAGGCTAAGGCAGGAGAATCGTTTGAACCCAGGAGGCAGAGGTTGCAGTGAGCCAGGATTGCACCACTGCACACCAGCCTGGGTAACAGAGTGATTGATAAGTCTGAAAAAGAAAAAAGAAAGTTCAGTGTGCCAAGGAAATACTTGTGTAAGCTTAGCTTTTTATTTACTAATTTACTGATCAAACAACATCTGGCTTACAAGCATAGGGAAACTACTTATGTGGTTGGCTGAGCAGTAATTTCAAGTATGTGAAATCTTCATTTATTTTACAGAATAGGTATTTAGAGAAACTTTTCTTGCCTGTATTCATGGCTGTTTTTGAATTTCAATTTATTAGTCACAAATAGTGCCACTGTTCTTTGATTACTCAATAGGACATGGAGCAAGCTGATCTGGGTGTCAGAAATTATTCATTTGACCTGTAAGGACAGAGAAAACCCTTCAGTATAGCTTAAGAAATTGAGTAATTTTGGGCTGGGCGCGGTGGCTCACGCCTGTAATCCCAGCAACTTTGGGAGGCTGAGGCGGGTGGATCACGAGGTCAGGAGATCGAGCCCATCCTGGCTAACATGGTGAAACCCCGTCTCTACTAAAAATACAAAAAAATTAGCCGGGCATGGTGGTGGGCACCTGTAGTCCCAACTACTCGGGAGGCTGAGGCAGGAGAATGGCATGAACCCAGGAGGCGGAGCTTGCAGTAGGCCGAGATTGCACCACTGCACTGCAGCCTGGGCAACAGAGCAAGGCTTGGTCTCAAAAAAAAAAAAAAAAAAAAATGAGTAATTTTGATTTGCTCCTGCTTTCTTCAACCTCCAGGCCCACTCAGGATGGCAAAGCAGATAGAATCTTGTCGTTTTTTCTGTTCCTTCCACAGATGGTAGAAGCATTTACAACTCCCACTGCAACACTCCATTGCTTAGTTGAGTTTAACAGTAGTGAGTCATGTCCTGCAGGATCCAGTACCTTTTTTTTATTCCCTCCCCTCCCGAGACGGAGTTTTGCTCTTGTTGCCCAGGCTGAGTGCAATGGCACGATCTTGGCTCACCATAACCTCTGCCTCCCGGGTTCAAACGATTCTCCTGCCTCAGCCTCCTGAGTAGTTGGGATTACAGGCATGTGCTACCACGCCCGGCTAATTTTGTATTTCCAGTAGAGATGGGGTTTCTCCATGTTGGTCAGGCTGGTCTCGAACTCCCAACCTCAGGTGATCTGCCTGCCTTGGCCTCCCAAAGTGCTGGGATTACAGGCGTGAGCCACCGCGCCTGACCAGGATCCTGTATCTTAAAGGCCCATACTGTAAAGGTCAGCCTACTTAGGAATGCTGCCACATTTACACACGCCCCTGGCCAAAGTAATTTTTTTTTTCCATGTAGAACAAATTATGGGCAGAAAATAAAGTTGGTTTTAGAAGTGCTGTTTGTGGCTGGAGAACTGTAAAAATCTTTTAAAAGGGATAAGGGAATTAGTGGCTATTAATATAACCACTACTTCAGCCCCTGAAACACAAAATCACTGTTACATGGAAAACTGGTTATCAGGCCAGATTTATATTCATCTCTGTCTAGAGCATTTCATGTCTATATGTGTTGCTTATGTTGTCCCCAAAGTCTCTCATCTCTTTTAAAAATCACTGCAAATAAAGCAATACTGAAGACTTGAGAGAATGCACCTTAGGGGAAGGGGCTGTTTCAAGACAGAAGGCAGGAAATACCTGCCTTTTGAGTAAGATCCTGCTTTTGAGTCTTACCTATGACTTTACCAGGGCAGATCAAATACACATCCTCCTGCTGACCTTCTGCCTTGAATAGCTATCTTAAAAGCTGAAGTTTGGACTGACAGCATCTGCTTGACAGGTGCCAGGTTCCTCTCGGCAGGGGGAAGATCACTCTATGTATCTTCCGTTGCCTCAGATTCCTGTGGCCCCAAGAATCGCACCAATCCTCATTCCCCCAAACATACTAACAAAAATCCCTCATTGTGGGTATTAAAATAACAGTTACACTGTATGCGTATTTATGTGCTCCTTTTGTCTGGTTTATTTGTCTTTTCATCATGTATAAGCTGAATCCAGCATTAGTTTCTCACATCTTCCCCAAGTGTCTCCAACAAAATTTTTATGTCCCAGCTTGTTTTAAATAGAAGTGAAATATTAAGGAAAATAGATTTAAGGGAACTTGTGCAACTTTTTTTACACATTGTTCTCAACCATTTAATTTATTGAAAGGAGATGCTGCGACAGTTTTGATTTAGCAGCAATTATTCTCTTGTTTACATAGTTACGATTTTATTTGTTGTTTTGCTCTGTACTGGAAACATAAATAAAGTTTTCTACATTATTTTCAGTTATGGGTTGTGGTACAGTTTCTTTGTGTTTGTAGTAATATGCACATTGTCCTTCTAGGACCTGTCACCCCACCATGGAGAAAAGAGCCTTCTGGTTCTTTTTAACATAAGTGATTAAGAGTATGCTGAGGAGCCACTGGGCTTAACGATGTAAGTAAGACCCAAATACATAGGGACCAGGCGCTGCTTTCTCATGTTCACAAAAGCAGTCCTCCACCACTGAACTCCATTCTCTGAAAGAAAGAATAAATAGGCGAGTGAGTGTTAAAATGAATCAATTACTTAATACTTTAACCACAGCTCTATTTTGCCTATCCTTAAAAAAGAACTTCCAGGCCAGGCGAAGTAGCTAATCTTAGCTAAACACTTTGGAAGGCCAAGGCGGGCAGATCGCTTGAGCCCAGGAGTTCAAGACCAGCCTGGGCAACATGGCGAAACCCTGTCTCTACAAAAAATACAAAAATTAGCGAGCCACAGGGGTGCAACCTGTGGTCCCAGCTACTTGAGAAGCTGAGTGCTTGAGCCCGGAGGTCAAGGCTGCAGTGAGCCATGATCACACGACTGCACTCCAGCCTGGGTGACAGAGCAGGACCTTGTTTCAAAAATACAACTTGGCCAGGCATGGTGGCTCACACCTGTAATTTCAGCACTTTGGGAAGCCGAGGTGGGTGGATCACCTGAGGTCAGGAGCACACCACCAGCCTGGCCAACATGGTGAAACCCCATCTCTACTAAAAATACAAAAATTAGCCGGGTACAGTGGCAGGCACCTGTAATTCCAGCTACTAGGGAGGCTGAGGCAGGAGAATCGCTTGAACCCAGGGGGCGGAGGTTGCAGTGAGCCAAGATGGCACCACTGTACTCCAGCCTGGGCAACAGAGTGAGACTCCCTCTCAAAAAAATAAAAATAACAACTTAAAAACTCCTAATGGCTCTTATTTTTTAAGAAACCCTAGGCCAGGCACAGTGGCTCACGCCTATAATCCTAGCACTTTGGGAGGCCGAGGCAGGCAGATCACTTGAGGTCAGGAGTTCAAAACCAGCCTGGCCAAACATGGTGAAACCCCATCTCTACTAAAAGATACATAAAAATTAGCTGGGCGTGGTGGCGGGCGCCTATAATCCCAGCCACTTGGAAGGCTGAGGCAGGAGAATTGCTTGAACCCAGGAGGCGGAGGTTGCTGAGATCATGCCACTGCACTCCAGCCTGGGTGACAGAGCAAGACTCTGCCCCGCACCCCCAGCCAAAAAAAATAATAATAATAAACTCTAATACCAATTCTAATTCCCTACCATCAAGTAGGTCAGCTATTCACTGTCCACTACAACTACCGAAAATTCAGCTTTTCTTTTGCCTTACCTCAGGGGGCTCAATGAAGGCCAACCAATCCGATGCATGTGTAGGTAACAGTCCCATGGACTGGCACTTGTAAACAGCCAATGCCAAACCCATCAGGTTCCCAATGAGATAGACCAAACCCTGAAGAAACTTCTGGCTTGAACTTTCTAACATCTTGAAAGCTGTTGGGGTAACAGAAGTTGTCAAACAAAAAGAACTCTTTCCCCCAATATGAATCAAGCCAACCATATATTAAATTCATATAGACAGACCCATAGTAAGACAGCAAATAGGACCATTAAAGGCAAAGAGAAAACCATGGTAAGCACTATATTCCCCTCCATGCCACCACCATTACCCCACTCCCCTACATACCCGTTAGCCAAAAACTGTCCCTAAGAATTTGCCTTTAATTCTTTCTTTGAGATGGAGTCTTGTTCTGTCGCCCAGGCTGGAGTGCAGTGGTGTGATCTCAGCTCACTGCACCCTCCGCCTCCCAGGTTCAAGTGATTCTCCTGTCTCAGCCTCCCGAGCAGCTGGGATTACAGGCGTGTGCCACCACGCCCAGCTAATTTTTGCAGTTTTAGTACAGACAAGGTTTCAGCATGTTGGCCAGGTTGGTCCTGAACTCCTGACGTCAGATGATCCACCCGCCTTGGCCTCCCAAAGTGCTGGGACTACAGGTGTGAGCCACCACGCCCAGCCTGCCTTTAATTCTTCAAACTTATGGAAGGGTTACTGTTTCGAGAATACTTACTGGCTGAAATGGCCATAAGTGCCTGAATGGGTCGCCAGGCCATCATACACACCATCATAGTAGGGAAGATGGAGATAGTATTGCCTGCCATGTACATGATGAAGAGGTTCATGGGAATCTGTTTGAGGGGACCCAAGGCAATGTCCCAGCAGCGCTAAAACAAACACACAATTTTAACCCTCTGATCACCACCCTTAGTCCCACATTTGCCATATCACTGATGCTAAATCACATGAACAGAATTCCCAATTCTCTGCTTCTAACTGAGCTGACTCCTCAATTATATGACCTCTTCCCTTCTCCATGTTGCCACAGGAGGGCTCTCTCTTCTACTAAAGATAAAAAGTACCATCATCATCTGTTGTACCTTTCCCTATAGGTTTTCCAGATGTCATTTTTTCTCCTGATTTTGGAAAAAAGATCTCCCTGCTTTTGTCCTAGTACTTCTGTATCTATCAATGTCCTATCTACAACTGAAGAAATAGATAAATCCACATAATGGGAGATTAGCACACCACAGTCAATAACTAATGGAACCATTGAACTAATTTAGTTCCAGAAAAAAATAATAGAATTAGCAGGTAAATCAAGACATAGAAGATTTGAATGACATTAACAAAACCCAACTGACATGTAATGCTGCAGTCAACAATTAGAGTTCACACTCTTTTCAAGCATAAGATATTTACAAAACTGACCACTCGCTGAGCTATGAAGAAAATGTCAATCTCAAAGAATGCAAATTGTACAAAACATATTCTTTGACTACGATATTAAACTAGAAATAATTTTATAATTAGAAAATCTCATGTTTGGGAATTAACAATGATACATGAAGAAATTATAATGGAAAACAGAATTGTATGATAGCAAAAGTACCACATTTTAAAACTTGTGGGACACAGCTACAGCTCTGAGAAATTTATAACCTTAAATACTATTAGGTTGCTGCAAAAGTAATTGCGGTTTTTGCCATTAAAAGTAATGGCAATCTGGCTGGGCGTGGTGCCTCACGCCTGTAATCCCAGCACTTTGGGAGGCCGAGGTGGGTGGATCACCTGAGGTCAGGAGTTTCAGACTAACCTGGCCAACGTGGTGAAACCCCATCTCTACTAAAAATACAAAAAAATTTAGCCAGGCATGGTGGCAGGTGCCTGTAATCCCAGCTACTCGGGAGGCTGAGGTAGAATTGCTTGAACCCAGGAGACAGAGGTTGCAGTGAGCCAAGGTCATGCCATTGCATTCCAGCCTGAGCGACAACAGCAAAACTGTCTCAAAAGAAAAGAAAAAAAAGTAATGGCAGTCTAAAAATAAACTAAGCATCCATTTCAAGAAACTAGAAAAAAAACCAAGAATTTTTGAAAAGATTAATAAAATCAATACTGGTGATGGGTACAGTGACCTGTAAAAATAAATGAAAATAACTTTTAAAAAATCAATACTGGTAAGCCGAAAAGGAGAGGAGACAAATATTCAACATCAGGAATGAAAAAACGAACATCACAGATCTTGCATATATGGAAGTGATCATTATTATGAACAACTTTATGTTAATATATTTGAAATTTTAGGAAATCGGTAAGTTCCTAGAAAAAATGTAACAAAATGACAGCAGAAATTAGAAATATAAATAGCCCCGGGCAGAGCATGGTGGCTCATGCTTGTAATCCCAGCACTTTGGGAGGCCCAGGCGGATGGATCACCTGAGGTCAGGAGTTCAAGACCAGCCTGGCAAACATGGTGATACCCTGTCTGTAACTAAAAATACAAAAATTAGCCGGGCAACTGCAGAAATCTAGATGAAGGATGGTGGCTTGGATCGGGATGAGAGGTGAACAGAGCAAAAAGTAGTAAGGAAAGTCAACAGACTATCCTGACAGTTGGATGTGTGGTGTAAGGGAACTAGAATAGAAAAAGATCACTTCAACTGGAAGATGTTGCCACCAAAAGATAGTTTTCAACCTACTTTCTTATACCTTAGGTTCCAAACATCTTTTATTTTTCAAACTGTTAAGCACTTTTGTAGGTGATATATAAAATACCGAAATACCAGTCTCAAGCAGTTTAGTTTCCAAATATTCAGGATAAGAGCTATCTACGTTAATTCCACCTGGGAGAAGAGGATGGGTGTATAAGTCAGGACTGGCCCAAGGACTACGGTAACATCTATACCTCTGTACCTTCTCCACCAGGATCCGGTCTGTCTCTTGCACGCTGGTATCAGGCACTTGCTTGTCCAAGTAACCGACTGGGTAGAGAGAGTCTCCCTGGCCACTGCCCCGGTCACTTCGACCCCTAAAAAACCAAACCAAGAAATTAAAGCTGCAAACTCCGACACTTCTTATCCCACATTTCCTGATCTACCAATCATAGGAATAAAGATCTTCAGATGCACCTACTCAGAATAGACCAAGCCCCCTCGTGTGTTCCTCAGTCCCTTGACTTATCAGGAGGACTGATGTAAGCATTCTTTGAGCACAGAAACCTTCCGGGTAGGAAAGCCGCTACCTCCCCAGGTGATGTCTGTGTGCCACCCATCTTTTTCAAACTTATGCCTGAGGGCTCAGGTCTCATTACTCTGGTGCAGTTCTGGGATGAACAGTGATGTACAGCTTGCCCAGGTGCCTCACCGGCTGCCTCCTCCAGGCCCGCTTAGCTCAATGGCCCACTTGAAGCGCCGGCCTCGGTTAGCCACCAGACCCCCCTGGGCCGTCATGGCAACAGCTGCGTCCTACAGCCTCGAAGCTTCTCACTCCAAAGCGTACTCCGCAACAGGCCCACTGGCGTTCCCCGCTTTGTCGCACTGTCGCACTCTGCAAATGCACTTCCGGCGCGTTAATACAGACGTCATTTCCGCCCCGGAAATTGGCGGCGTTGCGGGTTGAAGAGTCCGGTTTGGATTTAGAAAATCAGGGAGGGAAAAAAAAGCAGGCAAGACTTAGTGCTTCTTAAAGCCACTTCCCCGCGCTCCCTTTTTGAATGTACTCGTTATATGTTCCCTGACCTCTGAGGTGCACTTCATGGGGCTGAAGGAAAGTCCCTACTGACTCAGCGTTAAGAATTGGTGGGCGGATCAGCTGAGGTCAGGTGAAACCCCATCTCTACTAAAAATACAAAAAAATTAGCCGGGCTTGGTGGCGGACGCCTGTAATCCCAGCTACTTAGGAGGCTGAGGCAGGAGAATCGCTTGAACCCGGGAGGCGGAGGTTGCAGTGAGCCGAGATCACACCACTGTACGCCAGCCTGGGCTACAGAGTGAGCCTCCGTCTCAAAAAAGAAAAAAAAGAAAGAAAAAAAGAATTGAAGCCAAGAAAAGCTTCTTAACCTCCTACGCGCTCCCTGGAACAAAAGATTCAAATCCTGGATTTAAATCCTAGCTTGACCTTGAGCGAGTTACCTAGTAGTTTCTGAGTATTGAATGTCCACTGTGTCCCAGGAGCTCGGTGTTTCTTTTATTTCACTTGCACAGTAACCTTGCGAGGTAAACAGTTTTAACCACATTTTGCACAAAGGCAAGGCGACGTTGTGGGCATGGAAAGGGACATGGGCTCGGTATTCAGATAGCCTACGTTTGTTGTTGTTGTTGTTGTTTGTTTGTTTTGGCTTTGTGTTTTGAGACAGGGTTTCACTCCGTTGCTGAGGCTGTAGTGCCGTGGCGCTATCACGGCTCACTGCAGCCTCGACTTCCCGGGCTCAAACGACCTTCCCACCTGAGCGTTCCGAGGAGCTAGGACCACAGGGCGCGCCACCACGCCCAGTTTTTTTGTTTTGTTTTGTTTTGTTTTGTTTTTGTTTTTGTTTTTTTGAGACAGTTTAGCTATGTTGCCCAGGCTACTCTCAAACTCTTGGGTTCAAGTGATTCTCCTGCCTTGGCCTCCCAAAATGTCGAGATTACAGGCATGAGCCACTGCACCCAGCAGATGGCCTCCTTTTGAATCCTGGTTTCACCACTTAAAAATTGTATGACCTTGGGCAAGTTAAATCAACTGTGTTTCAGCCTCTTCATGTAAAAGTTGGATAATCTACCCATTTTCAAGGCTTGTGAGATTAGTGCCCACCATATATGTGGTGTTTGGTTAGTTGGTTGGTTTGAGACGGAGTTTTGTTCTTGTTACCCAAGCTGGAGTGCAATGGCACGATATCAGCTCACTGGAACCTCCGCCTCCAGGGTTCAAGCGATTCTCCTGCCTCAACCTCCCAAGTAGCAGGGATTACAGGCATGCGCCACCACGCCCAGCTAATTTTGTATTTTTAGTAGAGACGGGGTTTCTCCATATTGGTCAGGCTGGTCTTGAACTCCCGACCTCAGGTGATCCGCCTGCCTGGGCATCCCAAAGTGCTAGGATATGTGGTGTTTTTAATGATGTGTCACATCATTACCAAATCACACCACTGATGTGTTTTTAATGACATGTCATTAAATAATGTATGTCATTCTTTAAAGTGATTGGGTTTTGTATTGAATTGTATACCTTTTTCATAATTTAGCCTATTATTGGACATTTGTTTCCTGTTTTCCTTCCTTTTATAACCAGTGTTGCTGTGAACATATCTGTCTGTTTTATTTCCTAAAGTTATAGTCCTAGAAGTGAAATTGGAATTGCTGGATCAAAGAGTATGCATGTTTTTAAAGAATTTTCATTTTAAATGCCCACCAGGAGCCAGGCATGGTGGCTCACACCTGTCATCCCAGAACTTTGGGAGGCTGAGGCAGGAGGATTGCTTTAGCTCAGGAGTTCAAGACCAGCCTGGGCAACATAGCGAGACTTGTCTCTGCAAACAACAACAAAAAGAATTAAAATGCCCACTAGGAAAAATGGCACCATTTACATTTCACAGTGTAAAATTTTTTTAATAGTTTGAAACGGTACTATATTATTTTTTAATTTGTATTTTTTTGACTCCAAGTTATTTGATATGACTGGAGTTGGGGGGAAGGAGATGCTGTGGGAGGTAAAGTTGTAAAAGGCTTCCTTGGCCAACTAAACAGTTGGGACTCTTGAAGATGATAGTGATGTAGAGAGGCTGAAGATTGCCACCTCCACTTTGTTTTCTGATTTTGAAAACGTGTTCATAGCAGACTGCTTAAACAAGGCAGAAATGGAAGTCTTTTGCCTCTCCGGTCCATCGTAAAATGTGTATCTATCTGATTGTAGGAAGACCTAACTATAGATTTTTTGCTCCTTTCTGCTTTTTGTCTTTACCATGTTCTCTCTGATGAACCTTACATTCATCTCAAGCTTCTGACCCTACTGGGCATTCCTCTTTGTTGCATTATATTCTGCATAATAGCACTGACCACGTTGCATTTTGTTTGTTAACGTCCCCTAAGCCCTTATCTCTACCCCTCTATAGGCTACCCTAAATCCCCTCAGGTCAGAAGCTATATATTATCTTTGAGCCTGTTGCCTAGAACATAGAAAGTATGGAATAAATGTTTAGAGAATGTGAGTAAATTAAATTGAAAGTAAACACCAAGATGTGAATGTACTGTAACTATACTTACGCAAAATAAAACATAAAAACGGATATACATTGTATTGGGGCAATGATTTTCATGCAATTTTGTCTATTTTTCAAGATAATCTTATTACACTTTTTTTTTTTTTTTTTTGAGAGACAGAGACTCACTCTGTTACCCAGGCTGGAATGCAGTGGCACGATCTCGGCTCACTGCAACCTCCGCCTCCCAGGTTCAAGCAACTTTCCTGTCTCAGCCTCCTGAGTAGCTGGGATTACAGGCGCCCACCACCACGCCCTGCTCATTTTTGCGTTTTTAGTAGAGATGGGGTTTCACCATGTTGGCCAGGCTAGTCTCAAACTCCTGGCCTCAGGTGATCCGCCCATCTCGGCCACCTAAAGTGCTACGATTACAGGCATGAGCCACCACACCTGGCCTTCTTATTACATTTTAATTTAAAAAAAAAATTTTTTTTTTTGAGATAGAATCTCGCTTTGTCGCCAGGCTGGAGTGCAGTGGGGCGATCTCGGCTCACTGCAACCTCCGCCTCCCAGGTTCAAGCAATTCTTCTGCCTCAGCCTCCCAAGCAGCTGGGACTACAGGTGCGTGCCACCACGCCAGGCCAATCTTTGTATTTTTAGTAGAGACAGGGTGTCACCATATTGGCCAGGCTGATCTCGAACTACTGACCTCTTGATCCACCTGCCTCAGCCTCCCAAAGTGCTGGGATTAAAGGCGTGAGCCACTGCGCCCGGCCACATTTTAATAATTTTTTTTTACTTATTACTTTTTTGAGACAGGGTCTCACTGTGTTGCCCAGGCTTGTCTCCAACAACTGGGCTTAAGCAGTCCTCCTGCCTTGGACTCCCAAAGTGCTGGGATTACAGGCATGAGCCCACACCTGGCCCTGCTTTAATAAGTTTTAAATGAACACTTTTGAAAACATTAAGTTAGTCATTTCATTCATATATTCCTTCTATTTAAATACTCCCCTACTTGTTATAAAAGTGTGTAAACTATAACCGAAATTAAAATTGCTTTAGGCCAGGTGCTGTGGCTCACGCCTGTAATCCCAGCACTTTGGGAGGCTGAGGCGGGTGGATCACAAGGTCAGGAGTTCAAGACCAGCCTGGCCAAGATGGTGAAACCCCATCCCTAGTAAAAATACAAAAAATTAGCTGGGCATGGTGGCAGGCATCTATAATCCCAGCTACTCAGAAGGCTGAGGCAGATAATTGCTTGAACCCAGGAGGCAGAGGTTGCAGTGAGCCAAGATTGTACCACTGCCCTCTAGCCTGGGGGACAGAGCAAGACTGTCTCAAAAAAAATAAAATAAAAAGTTGCTTTGGCCTAAGTGGGGTACTCTGGATCATTTATTTCTTTATCCTAGGAATCCTCATAGTATTATTTGTGAAACTGTGTTCCAAAAAATGAATACATCAAGACTAGGCTGAGGATGGTTCCAAGATTAGATAAATTTGAGAAATTCTACATATTATATTCTGCACACACACCCAAGAGAGTCTTAGTGCTGTTAATATAACATGAAAACAACAAGAAATGGTTCGGTAAAGAATCTCCTTTAATTTTGTTTCCCAACCTACTTGAGTAAGGAACCAGTTTTTTGGGTTTTTTTCCTTAGTACATTTGTTAACATCCAATAGAATCAGTGTTCCACAGCATACAGTGAGGGCAGTTGCTGTATATGCATGCTAGAATTCTTCAGGAGAAAGATGAAGTCTTCCCTAGAAAGCTTTGCTTGTTATTTTTTAAAATATTAGAAGATCATTAAAAATAATAGGTTATTTATGGAAATGGAGCTTCAAGTTGAAATTAAAGTTTTAAAGTTTTTGCACAAATTTTGTATAAGATTTTCCAGGCCTGGTATGGTGGCTCACACTTGTAATCATTGTGCTTTGGATGGCTAAGGTGGGCGGATCACTTGAGGCCGGGAGTTTGAGACCAGCCTGGGCAACGTGGTGAAACCCCGTCTCTATAAAAAATATAAAAATTAGGCAGGTGAGGTGGCTTGTATCTGTAGTCCCAGCTACTTGGGAGGCTTAGATGGGAGGCTCACTGGAGCCCAGAAGGTCAAGGCTGCAGTGAGCCGAGATCATGCCACTGCACTGTAGCCTGAGGAACCTGGATTGTAATCCTGACTCCAAATGAACTGCATGCTTCACTTTGAATTAGGGATTCTCTTGACTTTAATTTCTTCATTTATAAAATAAGGGATTTATACTAGATTATTTCTAAGGGTGCCTTCTAGTTCTAAAATGTATCATACTTGTTTTTTAAAAAAACATATAATGCATACTATTCTTTCCATGCACATACACCCGGAAAAAAAGACTCAAGTAAGAGACACGT